TGAGAGAGATCATTGGTCAGCTGCCTCCTGCATGCTCCCCACTGAGGATCAAGCCCGAAACCCAGGCATGTGCCCTGACCGGGAATTGAACCAGGACCTCTCAGTCCACAGGACAAAGCTCAGTCCACTGAGCCATACCAACTGGGCAGATTACTTGCTTTTCTATTATTGCCAAATATTTTTACCTATTTGCACACAAATCTTTTGTGGAATATTTTTACAAAAAAAATATATTGTCTTGTTTGCATTTTCATTTATGCTGACATTTAATAAGCTAAAATTTCCAGTTTTAATGTAAAATCATTTATTTTACTTTATGGTTATGTGATTTATGTCCTATTTTTAAAATATGTGTCTTCTCTAAGGCCATGAGGATCTTTTCTTATGCCTTATTGTAAAAACCTTTTCATTTTATCATTCACATTTAGCTCTACAATCCATCTAGAATTTGTATTTATGTATGAAGTGAGGTAGAGGCCAAGATTTATCTTTTTCATAAGCGTATCTAATTGACTTACTATCACTAATATCTAATTAACTCAATTTTTTGTTTTATATATTTTAAAGCTATGTTGTTGAGGGCATACACATGTATAATTATATTACCTACCTCACTGGTTGACTCTTCTGACATCATAAATGATCTTTCTTTATACTAAGTAATTCCTCTTGCTTTGAAGAATACTATATTTAAAATTACTATAGTTATACCATCTTTTGTTTTGGTTATTACTCATATAACTTTTTACATTCTTTGACTTTCAACTTTTTCATGTCTTTATATTTAAGGGGTGTCTCTTGCAAGTAACATAGTGGATTCTCCCTGTCAATCTGACAATATTTATATACACATAATTACTACTCTATTTATTGGGCAGTAATTCTCCATTATCTTCTGATGCTGTATATTCTGCAAGCAGAAGCACTGACTACTATTTATTCTATCTTTTCAAGGATCTTTATATAGTGAACAGCCCTGGATAATAGAGTGTCCTCCTCAAGAGCAAAGGCAGATTTGCTTAAAGTTTTGGAAGACAGAAATAGTGCCCCCTCTGGAACTAAGAGAAAACATGCTTACTGTCAAGTATAATAAAAGTAACATCTCCCTCTGGATCAAAAAGCAAGCATGATTATGTCCGGCCTGTGTGGCTCAGCAGTTGAGCGTCACCCATGCACCAAGAGGTTGCCAGTTCTATTCTTGGTCAGGACATATGCCCCGGTTGTGGGCCCGATACCCAGTGTGGGCCATGCAGGATGCAGCCAATCGATGTTTCTCTCTCTCTCCCTCTTACTTCTTCTCTCTCTAAAATCAATAAAGAAAAAAATTTTTTAAAAAGCAAGTATGATTACTATCCATTATAAAATATTTAGGTTCCCTAAGCTCAGGGAAAGGAATACAATCCACTCCTGTAATGCAACCCATTGTGTGTGCAGATATCACTGGCTCTCCTTCACATCATCCTGTGACTGGGACTCAGAAAACTCATACACACACACACACACACACACACACACACACACACACACGGAAATACTCTAGCTACTGCTATTTTTGTAAGTCAGAAACTTTCTTTCATCTCTGACTAAGGAGTTTTATGTCTTCTGCTAGCATCCATGAAATTATATTAGACTAATTTGTTAGTTTTCAATTAGAGTGAAACTCAAACCCTTCACAGATCTTAGAACTTATGGTGACAAAGATGGAATGCTGACAGAGTCATAGCTTTATGAAGGATAAAGAATGACAGCCTCATAGACCAAGTAAGAGGATTTGACAGAAGTACTGGGAATCAGTAGTGAACATGTTAATTATTGTCTTTTTTTTTTTTTAATCCTCACACGAGGACATTTTCCACTTTTGTTCTGATAGAGTGGGAGGGAGGGAGAGAGAAACAACGTGAGAGAGACACATCGCGACTGGTTGCTTCCCACACAACCCCGACCAGGGCAGGGGACGAACCACAACCAAGGTATGTGCCCTTGACCAGAATCAAACCTGAGACTCATCAGTCCATGGGCCAACACTCTAACTGCTGAGCCAAACTGGCCAGGTCTAATTATTGTTTGTTAAAGATGAAGAATTGGAAAGGTGGCTCCATGCTGAAGTAGACTCAAAGACAGAACAACAGAAGGTACCATGGTATGCATTAACTCTCCTCTAAGCAGATTTGTTGGATTTCTTAACAAATCTGACCATCAGCCTCTGATTTGCCCGGTGGTAACAGCTACTACCAAGATACATCCTGGTTGGACAGAGGATTCCTCCTGATTACAGAGAACAGTTACAGAGAACTACACTGAGTGCAAAAGGAGGAAAATTTATAAGCACTATGGACATAAAGTGGTGACTAATTCGAAGTTTAGCTGACTTGTTTGGTTGATGATGGAGTATATTGCATAATTCCTTGTTAAGGTAAAATGGCAATACCTGGGCTGTTTCCAGGCTGTAATGAAATTTATGGCACAGACTGATGGTACTTGATATGCTGTCCTGGACATTGACAAATCCTTCTTGTCTATCCCATTAGCACCCAAAGACAAAGACCAATTCTCATTCATGCTGCAAGTTCACAAATATGCATTTGTAATGCTCCCTAGGGGGTACCTAAACTCCTCTGCCATTTTCTACAAGAGGTGGGTCAGCATTTGTTGTGATGAGCACTACCCTCTGATGCCCAAAGCTTTCACTAATAGATGATATTCAATTGGCTGGAGGGTCAGAAGTGTAATGGCCATGACTTTGGTGTTATCACACCTGTGTCAGTAAGGGTGACAGATGAAGCCCAACAAAGTTGGGAAGACAGATTCACAATATCCAATCCTCCTGGCATTAAGGAAAAATAGTTGTCTCCCTTTCCCCCAACCAAAAGACAGCCTAGCATCACTTTGGGCTCTGAGTATCGGAGACAAAGATGACTCACTTGGACATTCTACTTGGTCTTTTACATCAGCTAACCCACAGGGTGTGTAATCCGCAGACCTACACTGGAAGCTAATAAGCGAGCGGTGGCACATTCCCTACACTGAGGTAGCACAGACCTAATGATCCATTTGAACGACAAGTCTCCATGGCTGACCATTTTGTGTGCTTGAGCCTCTGAAAAAGGGAGGCAGCCTCCACTCAAAAGTATGTTGACTCCCTGAAACAGCTACCTTTGAAAGCACTCTTGGTTTACTACTGGCCTCCTGTCAAAACTGAAGCCCTGACTAATAGGGGCTTTGCTATTTTCATTTTGGGATGGATCAACTCAGACTCGTAACTATTTGACAAGCCTTCTTTGTCAACTGGAAGAGGTAATATTTAAGCCACAAGTATGTTCATAAAAGATTTTCAAGTGCTTAAAGAGACACCTCCAATAGATCAGACAGCCCTCAGAAGACGAGAAATCTCTCTTAAATAAAGCTGTTGTTGGTTACTCAGGAGAAATTTCTAGAGGGATTACTGACACATTATTTAAACACACTCTTAAGGCAGTTATCTCTACAACAAGAGTAATCCCATTAGAAAAGTTGATACAAAAATGTGTCCTTGATTTTAGCTGAACTAATCAATGACACTGCCTCATCCCTGGAAAGCAGTCTGGTCAGCCTGTCACTGATCAGCATGTTATTTATGGATGACAGAATTGCCCAAAACTTCATCCTTGCAGGCCAAGGTAGAATATATGCAATAGCTAATACCGTCTATTAAACCTGGATTAGTACCTCAGGCTAAGTGGAAAGGTCAATACAGAAACTCACTGAAAACGCCATCTTGCTTTCTAAGGTAGACCCTAAGGGCCAAGGGATTTATTTAGCTGGCTGGGTCTAGGCCCTTGCCTGCATGGTTGTGGACAATATTGCAGGTAGCCTTATCCTGTTGCCTGGAGTCCTGTTGATCTCAGCCTTAATTAAATATTATATAAAACAAGTTGAATAAATTTAGTCCCAATCTTTGTTGATAAGATTAATCATGATGGCAAACAATGTGTTATACTCAGAAAAATTTGTCATTATGGCTCTTGAAACTGTGTCATGTTTTTGGTTTTGTACTATTTGCAGTCTGACAATGATGTGCCCTCTATCACAAAATCTACGCAAGAATGGGTGTATAAATGTTTTTTGCACATCTTAAAGTTTATTTTTTATTTGGCCCACATGTGTTTTATGTTCTTTCTTTCCTTTCCTGCTTTTTTTTTTACTATTAATCAAATTTTTCCAAATTTATATTCTTTTTACTCTTCTTTTACTGGTTACCCTAAACATTACAGCATCCATCCTTGACTTTTTACAGCATAAAAGAAATTATTACATTATCAATTTCCCATTAATGCTAGCCCCTGAAAACCTTTAATTCCATTTGTAACCAAAAGAGAGCCAGTTGTCAATAACTGGTAAAACTGAAGATATACACAGTAGCAATACCCCTCCAATGTCTAAACCTAGGTCAACTTTTACAAATGTGCACAAGGAAGCATGTACACGAGTATTAGTGTCCTGTCTGAAAGAGAGGAAATGTTGGAGGCAATTTATGACAATGGATAAATAAACAGTGGTATGTTCATAAAACAGAATCCTGTAGCACAATTAAAATGCATTAAATAGAGATCAATATGAATCTGACTAATAATTTTAGATGAAAGTAGTAGAAGAATATGTACAAAATGATGCATGAAGTTTAGAAATAGATTGCAAATGGATGGGAACATAAGCACTGAAAATACACACACCTGTCAAAAGAATACACTCTAACTTTAGAAGAGTGGTTACCTGTGGGGAGGGAGGAAAGGATGGGATAAGAGGGGGTTGCAGAAGTCTCACGAGGATTTATGTGTTTAAAAAAAATTGATGCAATAAGGCAAATTACTCATTTTAAAAATTGGAGCAAATGGTATTTAGGTATTTAAAATCTGAGAAAATACTTTACTCCTCTACTTTCTCCTTTTGGAAATATTTTATAAATACATGTAAAAAACTTAACGTAAAAATTTCAAAATGAGTACAATGAGAAGAAAAGTTACCTGAAAGTACAGTTGCCTCACTAGATGTTAATATAAACTGATTTTCTATATATTTAGGCAAAAATTCAGACGCTCCAATCAAAAGTAAAGATTCTGAAGCTTTGGTCAGAGCTGCACATAAAAACAGAGGACTCTTCAACAGAATCTGAAATAGAAATAAGTAAAATATGGATTATTTTATTTTGTTAGCCAAAGAACAGATATCCCCACTTATATGTTAATAAGCAATCCACAAAAAGTTAACCTTTCTCAATGTAAACTGAAAAACAAAAATGTGTGTGTGTGTGTGTGTGTGTGTGTGTGTATATCCAAACAGAAATTTAAAATTCACCAGTATATACATACCATGAAAGACATGTAGGTTTGAGCCATTTTTACTTGTAATTTGATCTCCATACCACCTGTAATTTTTATTTGTGACTGGTGGTTTGCCAGTACGATTAAGAAAAAATAGATATATTAACCAGGCATTTAGAATTTCCTTTAACTTAATATTTTTGTTAGTGAATACTTAAAAAAAAATTTTTTTTTTATTGGTTTTAGAGCGGGAGGAAGGTAGAGGGAGAGATGTAAACATCAATGAGCGAGAACATCGATTGGCCACCTCTTACATACCCACCACAGGGAATTTGGTCCACAACCTTGGCATGTGCCCTGACTGGAAATCAAACTGGTGACCTCTTGGTGCATGGGCCGATGCTCAACCACTAAGCCATACTGGCCAGGTTCTTAGCAAATACTTTAAAAAAATTTTTTTTCTTTATTGATTTTAGAGAGAGGGCAAGGGAGAGGGAGAGAGAGGTAGAAACATCAATGAGAGAAAACATCCATTGGCTGCCTCCTGCATGCCCCCCACTGGGGATTTGGGCCACAACATGGGCTCGTGCCCTGACCAGGAATCGAACCTGCAACGTCTTGGTGCATGGGTTGCTGCTCAATCACTGAGCCACACCAGCCAGGCTCTTAGCAAATATTTTTATTTAACTAAAAAACAGACAAAGAAAATTTAAGTAGCACTAAACAAAAATCACTAGGATTGCAGTCAAGATTTTATAATATTTTAGTCCTGGGATTTCCACATACTAAAAAGTGGAGTCATTTAAATTCTGCATTTTATCCAATTAAAAAATGGGCAGAGGACCTGAACAGACACTTCTCCCAAGAAGACATACTAATGTCCAACAGATATATGAAAAGAGGTTCAATTTCACTAGCTATTAGGTAAATACAAATCAAAACTACAATGAGATACCACCTCATACCTGTTATCACAAGACCAGAGATAACAAGTGTTGGAGAGGTTGTGGAGACAAGGGAACCCTCATTCACTGCTGGTGGGAATGTAGACTGGTACAGCCACTATGGAAAATAGTATGGTGGTTCCTCGAAAAATTAAGAATAGAGTTATTATGTGACCTAACAATCCCTCTTCTGGGCATCTACCCAAAAAACTTCAAAATTTTTATTCACAAAGATATATGCACTGCTACATTCATTGCCGTACTGTTAATGGTGTCCAAGACCTGGAAACAACCAAAGGATCCTTCAATGGATGACTGGATAAAGGAGATGTGGTACAAACACACAATGGAATACCACTCAGCCATAAGAAAAGATGAAATACTGCCACTTGTGACAACATGGATGGGCATTGAGAAAGTTATGCCAAGCAAGCTAAGAACTATACGATTTCACTCATATGTAGAATATAAAACTGAAACTCATAGACACAGACAATAGTATGGTGGTTACCAGAGTGAAGGGGGTAGTAAAAGGTAAAGAGGGTCAAATATATGATAACAGAAGATGATTTAATTTTGGGTGGTAGGTAAACAATGCAATATACAAATCATGTATTATAGAAATCTACACTTGAAACCTATATAATCTTACTAACCAATGTCACCCTAATAAATTTTATTTTAAAAATAAAGTAAATTCTGCATTTTAGTCAATTTTTTTAACTTATTCAGAAACCTTACTAGGAAGTATAATGATGGTTTACTATTACTTATTATACTATTACACCATACAGAATAATTAACATGACTGTAAATTACATTTAAATATTAACTTTCAAACTAATTTTTGCATTTCCTGGATATGTATATATCTTAGAAAATATTTACTGGTGTTTTATGTTTGCATATTTTAAAATTAACTTAACATTTCTTTTTCCAGCCCTAAACAGTTTTTAAAACCTAACATATTCTGTATATTCACTCATTTGTCTCCTGAGTGCTATTTAACTTTACATAGCATAATGGCACCATATTTATCTACTCCCATAGAGGTAACTGCTTAGGCTGACTTCAACATCCCATTGTCACAAACAAGGCTACATTAAACATCCCTGTGCATGCACCCTTAAAGACCTAGGAGACAGTGTTTGGAAGTACATATATATCACAGAAGGAAGTTTTAGGGCATTGGAATTTGGTCTACTTAATTCCATTATCTCCAGACTTTTTCTCCAGAGTGTATCAGTTTATATTCCCACTATAATGTGGGAGACTTGCGTTTTCTTCTTGTAGTAGCTTATACTTTCTAAAATTCATCAGAGCAATACTTCCAGATTTTTCCTACATCCCCTTTCAGATTTACCACTCCCCTATCAAGAGACATTGAACATGAAAAGGTCTTTATGACTGCCTCAACAAAGCAAGTACAGTCCTACGCCACTCAAATATGGGGATATGTTCTAATTTGTCAAGGGATTTGGTCATTGTGCAAATATCAAGTGCATTTATACAAACCTAGGTGGTATAGCCTACTACACACTTAAGCTGTATGGTATAGCCTATCCTTTTAGGCTACAAGCCGGTGCAAAACAGCACAAGACTTAATGAAACACAAGATAAAATGAAGCAACCAAAAGACAAGGTAAACGCAAGATATACGAGGCTGCCGTTGGCATAATATAGCATACTGTTTTATAGCAAACTTTTTAAATAAGCAAATGAAGTATACTCACAAATAATAAAAAAGTATAGTATAGTAAATACATAAATCAGTAACAGTCATTTATTATCATTGTCGAATACTAGGTACTGTACATAATTGTATGTGCTATATTTTTATACCACTGGCAGCAGGGTGGATTTGTTTACACCAGCATCCCAACAAACACATGAGAAACGCATTGTGCTATGACATTACAATGACTATAACATTACTAGGCAATATGAATTTTTCAGCTCCACTATAATCGTACAGGACCACCGTCATATATGCAGTCCATCTTTGACCAAAACATCTTTATGCAGTGCATGACTGTAATGCCGCAGACTTCTGAAGTTGGGTCATAAAAGGACAATATTACTTCTGCTGGGAACACTCTCTCTCTCAGGACTCTGGCTTATTACTCAGTCACCATATTGTGAGAAAGCCCAGAACAGATGAAAAGGCCATGTGTGGGTGGTCTAGCAAACAACCAGTATCAAAAGCCAATATTTGAGAGAAATAGTTTGCGAATGATCCCATTTCCCAGACTTAGATCACTCCAGTTGACAACAAGTAGAGCCGAGAGGAACAAATCTTGTCCAAACTGAAGATTCATCGTTAAAACAGATGTTCTATTATTTTAAGCCACTGAATTTTGGGGTAGTTTGTAATGTAAAAATAAATAGTACAGCCCATATAATCACAGATATTTAATATTGTTTGCTGGCTTTCGAAATTTTGCCATGTTGACAAATATAAAGTAGTATAACTATGTTTTATTTTGTGTTTCTCTAATTTCAAAAGTCACTGAGCACTTCTTCCTATAATTCTTAGCTAGGATTTTTTTGTGTGTATAAACTGCCTATTTATATTTCTATTAGACTTTCTAAATTTTGGTGTAGACTTTGTAAGAATTCTTTGTTTATTCTAAATAGTAATCTCTTGATAGATGTAGATATCTTGTCACCTACCTCTATGTCACAAGGTATTTCTTTCATTTATAACATGAACAATGTCTGGCTGGCATGGCTCGGTGACTGAACATCGACCCATGCACTGGTTGCCGGTTTGATTCCAGGTCAGGGCACATGCCCAGGTTGTGGGCCCAATCCCTAGTGGGGGCCATGCAGGAGGTGGCCAATCAATGTTCTCTCTCATCAGTGTTCCTTTCTCTCTCTCTCCTTTTCACTTCCTTTCTCTCTAAAATCACTAAAGGAAAGAACAATTTATAATATGAACTATGTTGTTTTCTTCTAACCACATTTTATTAACCTAGATGTCACCTTTGTGCATGATATGAAGTACATATCCAACTTTATTTATATAGAGGAACAACTTTGTCATCGTATCTACTGAACAATTACCCTTACAGTGCTTCTTCTATCAAATAACACATTTTTATATGTATTAATCTATTGGGAGTTTACTCTTCTGTTCCACTAGTCTATTTATTCTGTACTGAGTAAATGGTACACTGTTTTTACTTCTATGGCTTTGTAGCCTGTCTTAATATGTACTAAGACAAATGCTCCTTGTTTTCCCTATGCATGAACTTATTCTGCCATAAACATTTTAGAATCAATTTGCCATTTACTAAAAAAAAAAATTCTTGCCCTAGTATTTATTAAATTGCATTGAGTTCATAGATTATTTGAGAAAGAAATAATATATGAAAGTTGTCATGTCATCCATGAATATGGTATATCTTTCAATTTATCCTACCTTCTCAGTTACATACATTTTTCCATTTTTTCATGAAGTCTTGAGCAACTCTGTTAAAATAGTTTCTGAATTATTTATAGTTTTATGATTCCTTTTAACTTTATTATCTAATTTTAAAAATAGATGATTCTTGTTGAATATTTTTATTTGAATATTTGTTTTTTTAATTTTATATTTATCTCATGTTGTATGTTCAGATATTGTTCAATTAATGGATTATAGCTCTTTTATAGTTCTTTCTATTTCACAAATATTAATTTATTCATAATTATTGAGAGTTGAGTATTAAGCACAGTCCTTACTCCAGTGAAAGTTATAGCAATATTCCATGATTTTATAGGAAATAGCAGGCTTATTAGATATAACTGGCAGAAAAAGAAACAAAAATATCTCATTTTTGTCTTGGCTCTGCAACTGATTTTTAAAACAGAAAACAAATCACAATATCCACATATCTCACTTAAGGAAAGTTTAATATAA